ACCCCTCCACCCCCATGGACAACCCCTTCCACCTGCCACCGGTCGATTTCTTCTTCCTTCGGGCCAAGCGGACGGAGAGGACGATGCAGATGACGAGCAGAACCAGGAGGGTCAACCCCAGGCCCAGCCCCACACCCAGCCCCAGCCCCAGTTTGCTGATGTGGGTCTGGCAGAGCTCGCCCGACGTCAGGTACCAAGGCACATCGGGGCAGCTGGGGAGAGTGAGGCATCATGGGTAAGGTCCCTGAGTCCCCCATCCCCCACCCTCAGATCCACCCCCTCCTTGGATCACTCGGGGGATTGGGATCCTCCAAGAGACCCACAGTTGGGTTCCTGGAGCTGGGGGGAACCCAGAAGACCCATCCCCACGTCCACGGGTTGGAATTGAAGTTTGGGGGTTGTGGTCAAGGGGTTCTGGGGGAGGTCCAGGGTTGGGTTGGGAGAGCAAGGGTGGAGTTTGGGGGGGCAGTGGTTGGGTTTGGAGAACAGGGGTTGGGTGTTGGGTTCAAGTTTGGGGCTTGGGGGTCAAGGTTTGGGGTGTTGGGTCAAGGGTTGGGGCTCGGGGTCAAGGTTTTGGGTTGTGGTCAGGGCTTGGAGGTCAAGGGTTGGGGTTCAGGGGTCAAGGGTTGGGGCTTGGGGTCAAAGGTTGGGGTTTGGTGTCAAGGATTGGGATTTGGGGCTCAGGCGTTGGGGTTTGGGGACCAGGGTTGGGGTTTGGGGCTCAAGAGTTGGGATTTGGGGTCCAGGTATGGGGTTGGGGGCTCAAGAGTTGACATTTGGGGACAAAGATTGGGGTCTAGGGACAAGGGTTGGGATTTGGGCTCAAGGATTGGTGTTTGGGGACAAGAGTTGAGATTTGGGGCTAAAGGGTTGGGGTTTTGAGGTCAAGGGTTGGGGTTTGGGGACCAGGGTTGGGATTTGGGGCTCAAGAGTTGACGTTTGGGGACCAGGTTTGGGATTTGGGGTCAAGGGTTGGGATTTGGGGACAAAGACTGGGGTTTGGGGACAAGGTTTGGGGTCAAGATAAGGGTCATCCTCCACTTTAGGACCAGAATCGTGTCCACAGCCCCCATTGGGGGGTGGAGATTTGGACCCGCCACGTCCCGGGTCCAGGCTGGGTGGGGTGGTGGAGATTGGAATTCTGGGTAAAGGAGGAACTCGGGGTCCACTCACAAGCAACGGGGTCCTTCCAAGGTCAACCGGCAGAGCCCGTCGCCGCAGTCCATGGAGCCGGGGACGTTGAGGGTGCAGTTGGTGACGCAGAGGAGGCCGGTGGGGGTGCGGTGGGGGTAGTAGAAGCGGCTGAAGTTGGCCGGCGCGTGTTTCCTGCACAGCTCTTGGAGGAGAAGACAAGCCACCGGTCAAGGAAGCAAGCCCTGAACCCTTCCCCCCTCCACCAACCCCATCCCCACCTCACCCCCGTGTTGGTTGCCCCCCAAAACCTGTGTCGTTGAGCACTGGCAGCTCGGCCCGGAGAGATCTGGAGGACGTGGTGAAGCAGAGACCTTCTGGGAGAGGGAAGAGTGGGGAGAGGTCACGGGAAGCCACCAGAGATGTGGGGAGAGGTCAGAGGCCACCAGAGATGTGGGGAACCACCAGAGATATGGGGAGAGGTCATGGGAGGCCACCAGAGATGAGGGGAGGTGTCACCGGAGGCCACCCAAGATGTAGGGAGAGGTCAGAGGAGACCACCAGAGATGTGAGGACCAACCCCCTGAGGGATGGTGGGACCTACCTGTGGAGTGGGTGCAGTTGTGGGGCTGAGGTGCAGAGTTGGCGGCCTCCAGCAGCTCCCGGCCTCGGCGGTAGAGGTTGGTGGTGGGTTTGGCTCCAGGTGGGGGGTGCAGCATGACTTTGTAGTTGACCACCACGCTGCCTCTTCTGTGGGGCAGCGAGAGGGTCAACATGGGGCACCGGGTTCCTCATCTCATCCCACCCCATCCCATTCCCATCCTAGGGGTTCCTCATCCCATCCCATGGGTCCCTCACCCATCCCATCCCATCTGATCGGATCTTCTCCCATCCCCATCCCACCCCACCCCATCTCCACTCCATCCTTGAGCGTTCCTCACCCATTTCAAGGGTTCCTTTCCTATCCCATCCCATCCCAACCCAGGGGTTCCTCACCCATCCCGTCCCAAATGTTCCTCATCCCATCCCAGATGTTCCTTATCCCATCCCACCCCATTCCAACCCCCCATCCTAGGGGTTCCTCATCCACCCCATGGGTTCCTCACCCATCCCATCCCATCCCATCCCATCCCAATGTTCCTCATCCCATCCCAGATGTTCCTTATCCCATCCCACCCCATTCCATTTCCATCCTAGGGGTTCCTCATCCCATCCCAGGGGTTCCTCACCCATCCTGCCCCGTCCCAAATGTTCCTCATCCCATCCCAGATGTTCCTTATCCCATCCCACCCCATTCCAACCCCCCATCCTAGGGGTTCCTCATCCACCCCATGGGTTCCTCACCCATCCCATCCCATCCCAGGTGTTCTTCATCCCATCCCCATCCCATCTGATGGGTTCTTCTCCCATCCCCATCCCACCCCATCTCCACTCCATCCTAGAGTGTTCCTCACCAAGAGTTCCTTTCCTATCCCATTCCAGATGTTCCTCACCCATCCCATTCCATTCCAGGGGTTCCTCACCCATCCCATCCCAGATGTTCCTCACCCCATCCTACCCCACCCCATCCCCACACTCACGTCAGGGCCAGGACCCGGGTTCCACGGTAGCCGGAGACGTTGTGGTAGACCCGGTCCATCTGGAGACAGAGGGACACGTGTCACCCAGTAGGGGTTGGGTTGGGATGGTCCTTTTGGGGGGTGGTCCTGGTGACCCCCCCCAACCCCCCAGGTGACACGATGGGGGAGACTCACCGTCCGGCTGAACTCATCCACGAAGCTGCGGTAGGTGGGGGACGAGGTGTCCCTCATGTCCTCGGAGAAGTTCCGGTTGGTGACACGCGCCAACATCAAGAAGGAGGGGCCCAACTCTTGGTGAAAAAGGGTGGGGGTGGGGGGTAGGATGCCCGTCAGATGGGGACATCCCATGGGGTGTCCCCCTCCTCCTGGGGGACAAGGTGGGGTGACACCCCTCCCACCACCTTTACCTGCCGTGATGTTGATGGTGGTCGCCCCAAACTGGCAACGGGCTCCGTCCACGTTGGGGGGGCAGAGACAGAACGTCCCCGTCCAGCGACCCCCATTCTGGCAGGGATCTGGGAGGAGAGGACTCATGGGGACCTCCTCATTGTCCCCACCCCCAGTTTCCCCCCTCCCAGATCCATCCAGTTGGGTCCACCATGACTCCAACCCCCAATTTTTTTGGGGGGAGAAATGGAGGGGAAGAAAAATGGCACCTGGTCCCAACAAGCACCTCCTTGGTGTGTCCTCCTTGGGTGGGGACCAACCAGCGGGGCTGTAGCCCCTTTGGGTGGGGGTGGCCATGAAGGTGGTCCTCTCCCAGAAGGGGCTGGAGGTGAGGGTGGGGGTGGGGGAAAGGGTGGTCTTTGAGCACCCAATGCCAAGGAAGAGCCACCAACCTGCAGTGGTTGGAGGGGTGGTGGTTGTGGTTGTGGTGGTGGTGGTGGTGGTTCTCCTGGTGGTCCTCGATGTGGGTCTACTCCTTGGTGGAGCCCTACTGGTCGTAGGGTGATGGGACGACTTCGTGGTGACCCTTCCAGAGGTGGGGACAGCCGCGCTGTGGTGCTCCTCACACCGTGGACCGTAAAAGCCAGGGGGGCAGTAGCACTCGGTCCCTACGGCCGTGCCACCGTTCCGACAGGCCGTGACGTCATCAGGGGTGTCACAACGGGGTCCCGACCTCCCGGGGGGGCAGATGCAGAGGTTGCCCACGGCCGTGCTGCCACCGGCGCATCGGTCGTTGACGTCCACCTTCTCGCAGGTGGGGCCGGAGTAGCCGGGCGGGCAAAGGCAATGGGTCAAGTTGGCCACCCCACCGTTGTGGCAGACGACTGGAAGAGAGATGGGGGGCAGAAGAAGGTGGGGGGGGGGGGGGGGGGG